TAGCAGCTTAAAAGGTTTAACACAGGTTAACCTATTCCTAATATTTTTATTTGAAAATTTTCTAATAAAGGTTGGTTGAGAGATTAAAAAATAGAGGCCAAAACACTACAAAGCAATGTTTTAAAGATAAAGCATTTATTTCTAGTTTGTAGGGCTTAAAACCCACAATGGCCTTTCTGCTTTGGCTAGGGATGCAGTTTTGGAGTTACTTAGATGAAGGTTAGGAAATCCAACTTATCTGTGATTTTTATGCACCATGAAACATCTTTAAATGGGACTGGGTTTTCAGAAGTGCCAAACACCCATCATTTAAGAGGTTATAAACTAGGGAGACAAAACTTCCATCTATTCCTGTGAATATTGGCCAAAATTGGGGATCTGCTCATATAGTTCCCAGGTCTATGAACAGAGGATACAAATGGCTATAGGTTCTGTTATGTGATTTATTTATTTTTTAAAGCTTACGTGTGAAAGCTTTGATGGCCATCAGGAACAGCTATTCTAGCGATGGATAAAGTCTTAATCGTACGAGCAGGGGAGGAAAAAAAAGCAATCTTCAAAAAGTAGTTAGCCATACTTGTAGATTTAATGAAAAGTAGACAAATATATTGACTACCTTCTTACAGAAGACTAACTTTTCACTATCCACAGGTAAAATATTGTCACAAATTCTTGATCTGATCCTACGACATGCAACGTGCCCCAAACAGCTTTGTGAAATAACCAAGGAATGAAGGTGCAAGGAAACACTTCAGGAGACGCCGGACTGAACACATGAACAAATCCAGGTGTTGTAACACACATTAATCTTAATCTCTTGCCAGCAGGCATCAGCTTTCTGTAAGCATGCCTGCCAGCCTGGGTGAGCTCTCAGCTGCTGCTGGGAGCTTGCAGCTGGAAACAACCCGAAACTTGAACTGTGGGCACGGAAACTGCGTGCGGAAGAGAACACAGCAAAGTAGGATGGAAGCAGAGTTTGGACTAACACTTCCTTCAAGGCTTACGCTGCTTTTTAATCAAGTGCCTTGTGCGGCTATACAGGAAAAGGTCTTTTTATAGCTGGAACTCTTTGTATATGTTATAGGATCCATCACGTATCTTTGCAGCTATCACATACTCAAACCATATAGTTGCATGATACAAGTAGTCAAGATATTTTGAGAGAACTAGTTAATACTGTAACATCTCATCCAAGCTATGCTGCGATCTCATGTCGCGTCAAGCTGGTGATGACTTAGTAAACACATTCAGTCCAGTTATATACTTACTACCATTTCTTGTGCCAAGACTTTAATGTGCTTCAGTGCATGAAGGAAATTTACAGCCAACTCCATGAATATACATTCCAGCTCTCCATTTCATTTCAGTTTAAAAAAAAACAGCAGCAATTATATTATAGCTTCATAGCAGATATTTATAACTTAGCTATAAACAAATGCTGATCTAAAGCTTTGCAGACAGCTCTCAGGCAAATTTATTTATTACAGAATTTATAGGAATATTAACCACTTTTTTTCCAGTACTACAGTTTCTAGTATCTCTTAATGAAGGCAGGGGGATATAAATTCCATCTTTTCTGACACGGGTTTACTCTTTAGTGGGAAAGCCAGGAAGAAGCCTGTTGTTACAACTCAGCGTAACATAAGTCATGGTCTAAAGTCAAGTAAATAGAGCTGTCTCCATACAGTGCAAAGGATGCTGGAGCAGACCCTTCTTAAGGATTAGTAATTTGTCTTCAGATTGGACATAACTTTGGTTGCTGTCTGGTTTAAGTGTATATTGTATCTACCAAAGTTGCGTTTATGGGAGAAAGAATGAAAGAGCGTTTAATTCCAGGGGAAAAAAAAAGCATGAATTCTTCTACAGTGTTAATTCCCTATCTTGACCAAAATTCATTCCGATTCACATTGTCATTCAGCTGCTCTAATTCCACCAAGTCGTTTTAACAATCTAAATGGAAGAATAATCTGAGCCACTGTTGAAAAAGCTTTGTTTGTGCCCTCCAAGTGAACCTATGCCCAGAAATGAGTTTTAGCCTGCATGACTGATCCTACATCGAAGCCCTGCCTCATTAATAGCTTTTCTTAATACATACAACCACATTAACAACCTGATGTTTCTAGGAAGCAGTGATTCAGCAAAGCCATTCTCTTATTTAATTTAAATACCAGTGAAAGTGGACTGGTCTGTATATGTTTTAAATGATGGAAGGCAGATTGATCTACCTTCAGGCTGCTCGGGACCAGCTATTAGAGAAGGATGTAAAGTCGAATGCTACGGGAACTCTTCAGTGCCTGCCAGTCACCATCACCTCTGTGCGATTCACCAACGCCTGTGAATTCAGCTTCACAGCTCCTCTGTGAGGTAGGAAATTACTACTCCCTCTCTTGCAGAAAAAGAAAGTGAAGGATAAGGAGATTAAGTTGTTCTCCTGGGGTTCCAGGGGACATCCGTAGTAAAGCTGAGGATGAATTTAATCCACTAGTTTAATCACAGGTCAGCCATTCTCTCCTCTTTGCCTAGAGAAACTGGGCTTTTGACACAACCTTCAGTTCTGCAAGCTGTAAGCATCCTGGACAATACACTGTCACAAGTGGTTTCACTTCCCTGTCCTGCTTGTCTGAATTTTACGGACTGGCTCACACTGTAGAGATTTCTTGCACAATAGCGAGAACATCTTACGTAGCGTTTTAGGTCAGCCTGCAAAACAGACAACGTTTAGCTGCAAAGCTCAGGTTTAAATCTTCCGTATGGATTAGAGCCCACTTCTGTTTGCTTGCTTCCCTCCTTCCAGGAAGCATGAAATAATAGTAAACACTATGAGTACAAAAGGAAAAGTCAATGAACAAAAACTTCTACTATTAATTACAAACATTAGTGCAAACCACAGAGCAGATTATTTTTAGTAAGCTCAGTATTTTCTGTAAGGAAATACTGTCAGGAGGTCATACAACTGAGGCTTTAAACACAGATGAAGTCACATTTTTTAGCCCAGTACGCAGGCAGCTTTGAAGTTCACGCACACAAGCAACCTGGATGCTGCTGCTACACGTAATATTTTATCCTACATATTTGTACGTATGCTATTATACTTCTTATTGAAAATATATTTAGTCCTGTGCTTTTATAAAATATAAATAATTAAAGGCAATAAAGACCAAATTCCAAAGCTGAATTACATGTTTGGCTAAGAGACTTGTCTAGCATCATCTGAACTGCCTAGAAGAGTTTTTTTTTGGTTTGGTTGGGGTTTTTTTAAATTTAAACGAGCCATTTGTTTATGTGCTTAAAAGTCAACACCTAAATCGATCCTTGACATTCAAATGCATGGCTCTGCCATCAAAGGTGAGAGAGCTCACACTTCCATAGACATCAAGGGCTCACCACTGCTGGAAACTCCATCCCATTTTTACATATTCAGATGTAGATTTAGGTGTTTGCCTTTACTTCACAACATTTGGAAACTGTGGCCTTTGTGCCTCATTAAGAGTCAACTCTTGAAAGTTGCAGCCAGTTAAGAATGCTACAGGAATGCTGGTCTCCCTGCTCAACATTTGTTTATGTTCAGCAATTGTCATTTGAAAGAAGGGGGGTGGGAAATAATGTAGATCAAAGTTTGAAAAAGTATTTCTCAACGTACTTTGCTGGGCAAGACCAATCGAGCTAGTGGATGCTGTCGTTAGTGGTCTGTAACCCTCAGCAGCTGCAGCTGAGTGGATGAAGTCTGCATTTGGAAAAGTGCACTTTTTCATTGTTTGCTGTTTAGCAGGACCCGACACCAGAGTTGCACACCCTGTGTCTCCTAGAGAGACTCTTCAGAGGTGTTCATCCAGCCATTTGATATAGCTGTTCCTGGTCTGAATGCCTGCAGAGAAATCAGTAGGCCAAATGGTGAATATCATACAGCCGTGAAAGCAGTCATCGAAGTGATCGAGCGTGACTTCCACGCCGGCGTTCTCCAAGCGCTTGGCGTACATCACCCCGTCATCTCGCAGGACGTCGTTCTCACAGGTCAGGATGTAAGTCTTTGGCTGCAGCTGCAGAGTTTCGTTTTCTGCAAGGAGTGGGACGGCTCGTACATCAAGCAGTGCCGGTATCTCCTGTATGATTTCAGCATTGCCTGTGGTCTGTATTACAGGCTTGTAGTTCTTTTTGAACGATGAAGGCAGTAGAGATGTCCAGTTCAGGCGTCCTCTGAAAGAGAGAGCTTGGCCAACGTCAAGGGCAGTGTGGTTGTTAATCACCAGTGAGTGAGCCAAGTCATAATTGCCATTGAAATAATCTATCCAGTAGTTGATCATGACAGAACGAGGAAGAACGGGCATATTCACGTTTTGCTGATAAGAAGGTGTATTGAAGTCAAAAGCCTGAAGAACTGGATAAATTAAGGCCTGCAGTTTCGGTCTGATGGTCAAATGCTCATCTTTGCTAAGCTGTGGGAAGAATATAGGATAGAATTTGCATTCTAAAGAACACAAACATTACAAGATCAACCTAGAACTTCATACAAGCAACCATTCATTCGACAATTTTTAGGCTGAATTCTGCTCTTATGCAGTTATGAAATATTAGCAGCTTGATATTTTTCTTCTCTTGTAAGGATGGCCATTCAGGCAGACCCAGGTCTCCAACAGAAATCAGTGGCAGATGTTTATTGCAGGGTATAAGAGGAAAAAGAAGTGTAAAGTGGCATTTTGCTAATGTAGTTCCCAGTTTAAAAATTTAAGAACTTCCTGAATTAAAGGAGTTACTCTTGCTTTTAACAGTTTTTAATGGATTTTTCTTCCATTAATTTAGCTAATTGTTTTTCTGAGCATGTGTAACAGTTGGCACCCACACCTCCCTCTAGCAAAGTCTCACCATATACAGAAGCACCTCTGTGTTGGAACTGAACCTGCTATCTGCATTTGATTTGAGCCTAGCAATCATAACTTTGGTGACCCCTAATCTTTTTCTGGAAGAATCAACAAACACTGGGTTTGCTTCATCTTCTACACAACATACACGAATCTCTATCATCTCTCATCTGTCTTTTTTACAGGCTGAAAAATCTTAATTTACTTAATCTCTCCCTGAAACAGTCCCACATCACTGACTTAGAAAGAATTACGCATCAGGGAAACAAATTAGGAATGCTGCTTCCAAAACATGGTACTATCATGTTTATCAGTCCTCGACACTGAAACTTTTAGTGTAATTGCCCCATATTAATTTTTTCACCCTAATTCAATATTGCAAGGTTGTCATGATAATTAGTTGCCTGGCCATGGTATCCGCTTTCTTATCACCAATGGTTATAGCAGTATGAAAAAGCTAATAATAATATTTCACTCGACCATGAAAAAGTATTATTACTTGCTCCAGGCTGCCTTTAAAAATCTTTACTAGATTAAATTCAGATTACATTTAAACTGCAGATATACAAAAGAAATTTTCTTAAATTGTCTTCCTGTAACATTTCACAATTTAACAGAAGAATTAAGCTTCATTTATTGTGTTTGGTCCTTCATTTGTATTTGAAAAAAAAAAAACAAACAAATCCACCATATTTTCTGAGACAAACATCTAAAAATAGGAAGCTAAATTGATAAATTACACGTCTACCTAGCTACCTACTTAGAAAAAGAATTCATCAGCAAAAGGGGTAAAAGAAGTCATTTAGCTACTTGCTCTTAAAATCTAGCCCGTAACAACTCGTAAATGTAGTAAGACATCCTAAGTTATGTGATTCATACTGTGATTGACTCATTTTTCTTCTGAAAAGTGACTAGATGCTGGCTTTCTACCATTCTGTCTTTAGGGCTGGCACATCACCTCGTGATGACGCAGCACAAAGAATCTGCCAACATATATGCATCACTGAATTAGGGACTGTCAGAGTGTGATACAGAACAGACGCTGGATGTTACCTGCTGACACACAGCAGCTGCCAAATTTCCTCCTGCACTATCGCCAGAAATGGCAATTCGACTTGGGTCAACGGAATACTCAGCTAAGACATCAGGCTGCAAAAAATGCTTAGTAGCACGAAGAGCATCATGGAATTGCTCGGGGAAGCACACCTCTGGTACCAGCCTGTATCTACAAAAGAAAAGAGATGAGAGACAATTATTATCTTCAATGTACCTCTCTTTGAGGATTAACAGGTGATATCAGGTATTCCTTAATGGCAAATAACTATTTTGTTAGGATAAATATTATGAGAAAAACATGAGGTGTGTGATACTTATGTAAGACTTAATCTTATAATTAATACTCTAATTCTGAAAGATTAATATGAACCTACTAGTTATGAATAATACCAAGATTGTAAAAATTGTGCAGCACTTTCCTAGGATTTCCCAGTAGAGGATTTTATCGTGCATTATAAAAATGAATGAATATTTAAAGCCCCCTTGGCAAGGGGGTCATTACAATCAGGCTGGTTTTGATCCAAATCCCCACCTTAACTAGTACAAGGAAGAGTATCACATACATCCAACAGATTCTGCTGAGTCAAACACCTAAGCAGTTCTGTGTCCCGAATTTTCACTTACGCTCAGGAGAGAACGAACCTTGCTATACCTCTGTGACACAAAATAAATAATAGCCAAGAAGTGAAGTAATGCCGTTTTGTTCCAATGCAACAGATTCAGTAATTCCTCTCCTTTACCAAGGAGAGGAGCAGGAATATACCCATTGTGCAGGTGGAGAGAGTGAGGCACAGCGAGAAAAAACAGTCTGCCTGGGAAGAGCCTGCAGCAACGTCCCATTCATGAGATTGTCTCAGTTTCTAAATAACTGTGCAGGAGAAGTCTGTTCGTATTTACTGACTAATATGTAATGTAAGAGTTGTTACTAGGCCTTATGGTACAAAGTATGTCTTCTGTTTGTAGCTTTTCAAACAACAGATTTTAGGTTTTCTCAGCAGAGCCAAGCAAAACAAAATCCAGTTTTCTGATTCAAAACATTTTCTTTAGAATCTAAGCTAAAAACGTTCCATATGCAGAATAATTTTTAAACCTAGGCTACATAAAGCGTTTCAAACTCCAGATCTGACCTGCTTTCAGAAAGCAATCTATATATTGCATCAACTACAATGGAATATGAGAGTCCTTTGGGAACTCCTCGCAAAACTGGGTAACAGACTATGATGAAAGTGAGATATGCAATTAAACCAATGAGAAATCTAATTAGACTTCACTAATTGAATACAAACGCCTTGACTGAAAGATGTAATGGCTAAGGAAGGTAAAAAAGTAACTCAGAAACAGGCGGAATAATAAGAAGCAATCAGAAAAGGAATAATAAGGAACTTTACAATACAGTGATCGCTGCTCGCCTGGGATAACCAACAGCTGCTTTTTTACTTTTCATTGTTTCCACTAATAAACAACAAAATATTGAGAAAAAGTGCCCCTTTAAAGTATGCTATAAGTATTGAATGAGTAACATCAGCTCCATATAATTAAGTTGCAATCAGATCACAGAGCTTGGTATATAATCAACTGCAGGTGGGACACTTGAGTAGTTCTATCAAGTTATTTGGTTTGCAACAGAAAATATTGAAGTTGACAATAAGGATGGGAAGAGTACCAATCAAGTAGGAGTCACCTAAGTAATGTAGTTAGCTAGTTGAGAGATTTGTTTACCTTGGAATTGTTCTGCGAGTTAAAAAAGCAGCCCTGCTTCTCTGTTGTCTGGCACCCTGGCAGTTCTCTGCCCTTGAGTGGAGTCCAAGGCTTAAAGGAGATGAGTGGCACAGTGGGAGATTGAGAGAACAGCAGGAAACTGCCCAACTCCACTGGTTAACGAGCAGGGGCAAAATGATTTGCTAATTTTTATGTTACAGACCCTTGCTCAAAATTACTTGGAAACTGTGGTTCATAGACAGACTTTGGAGGGGGTTAATATATACATTTTCATATTTTACATAAATACTTTTTAAAAATATATATCCACTTTGCAGCAGGGGAGTGGCCATCGAGGACAGGAAGAGCCCCTCTTGCTACATGAGGAGGCACAGAGATGTGGTTCAGCCTTCCTTCAGATATATATCATGTCCCAAGGTGTTTTGTTTTTCTGTTTGATTGGTTTTTTAAGTTCACAACTATTCACAGAATCGTAACTTGGCACTTGAGTGATCTCAGGTTTTAGCTGCACTCCTTACATGTACATACAATTGCAAGATGCACTAAGATTTGTGTTTTAGTATTTGTCCAACTGAATTAAGTGCTACTCTCTTTTCCCACATTTCTGCCTTCTAAAATGATGTCTAAAATAATTAGAAACCCAAATGCATTTTTGATACCATTCCAGTTTGTTGTAATTTTAAAAGGGTAAAAATATCAGACTAGTAAAGAGAATTATTGTCCAAGTTAAAACCTTACAGACAAGCCATTAACAAGGAAAAAGCTGAAAGAACTGCGTTACATATTTCTAATACCTTAAAATTATTTGATCAGTTTTGGATTACTCACTCAACTGAGACAACGACAGCGTTAAGAGATTCAGCCATAATTCTGCAGAGATTGTTATAAAGGCTTGTTCCTGGAACAAAAGGACATAGCATTAGGGAAATATGAGTCCATTCATGTCAATAGTCGCATAGCTGTATGTAAGCCTTCTCAGAAAATATAAAGACATGATATAAAAATATAAGTAAATGACATCAGCTTGCAATAGTGCCAGATAAATACTATAACAGAAGGAACATAAGTTATGCCTTGAGAAGTCCTGCAGTCTAATGCTCGCTTTCTCATCTGTCTCTTGGTGACTGCGGGCATGTCATTTCATCCATCTATCACAATTCTCTCAGTTGGGCAGAATTTAAGGCACCCGGTACAGGATGGGGGCATTAGCATCCAGAGACAGTTATCACTGTATGAGTCACTGCTTGTTGTTCATTTTATTATAACACACATTGCTTTGATTCAAATGAGTTACCCTATTAACGTCAACCGAACTACTCATTTAAAGGGAGGATTAATCACCGCTATCCTATTTATCAGTGGACTGATTTTCTTTAATTTTATTCCTTTCCAGTTACTTAATTGTTGGTTCCTGGTACTATAAAATATACTAAGACACCAAGTGTTTTCTAAGTATCTAGTCTTAGAATTTATTATCTAGCTGTAACATCTCAGAGCAGCCATGAGAACTGCACGCCCTTTCTCCTCCTGTACGATGTGGAAGGATCAGTCATTAGCTTATTGTTGTCTATAGCTATACCTAACTCCCTCTGAGTATGTTTGTGGTTTCCAAGTTAATTGGAGTAAACAGCATTCATTTTCAAGCTAATTTCTGCTGGTGGTGGCAGTGGGCCCCCAAGGGAGCAGGTTAGATCACGGGATGGGAACTAACCTCTACCTGTTTTCTTCATCATGCTGCCCGTTGTCTGTTATTAGCAGCACGTATTCCCAAATACGTGTTATTTAAGAGCCAAACATCAGCAATGCTGTTACATGCAGTCTTGTTCAGCTCACACTTCTGCTAATTATTGTGTGAAAATGGGGCAGAACCCTTACAAGTAGTCACTGGATCCTGATTGGCAAGGGTCGACTTTTGCATGTGACCATAGAAAGCAGAGGACTGGCCAAAACAGCCCATCCAGGCATCCCAGGATTTTAAACAATAAGCTATTTTGTCCTCTCAGGATGTAACAAAATTAATCTTTTTGTCCTTTTACAGCTCCTGTGCAGACAAGATATGCATTTTTTGCTGTGTGTTCATGATATTTTTCCTCCTCCCTCCTTAGAGCTGATCTACCAGAATGGACAGAGTTACTACTGAATTCAGGTATGTCTTAGCAAAATTATTGTCCTTGGAAGGAAAAACAGCTTTTGGCTTCCCCTGCTAGGATAAAACCGAAGCAGAATCCTATTTAATTACTGGCAGACACATACTTGCGCTTGCCAAGGCCCAGCCCCCTCCGTGGATGTAAACAACGCTGCGCTTGAGGCTTTCATCTTGCTTGGCGGGAGGTTCAAACACTCTGACTTCCACACCATCAAAAACAGCATCCGTGATCTTAATGTCTTCGGAGGAGACAGACTTCAGCTTGTCAAAGGTACAAATCAAATAATTTAGAACTGTCAAGTGATGGCTGAGTCTCAGGTAGTGAATCAGATGACACTGGAAGAGGGGAAAAAAAAAACCAAACATCATACAAAAAGAAGAAAAAAGGAGATTTCTGTTACTTCAGAGCATATCACATGGTACTGCATTGATGTTTAATGCAGCTGGCTTCAAAGGGCAGGTCCTATACAAAAACGAATACGGATTCTTAGAATATTCACCAGAAAGCGAATGAATATCAAAGACTTCTAATGCTTTTAAAGCTGCATTAAAACAAAACCCTGTCCATAAAGGATTCTCTATTGTCAAAATAAATCAAACCACGAGCTCTACACAACTGTGGATGAGCACTCAGGTCCTTGCCTTTGAGAGACACCCCCAGAAGGAGACCCACCTCCCCAGTGTGCTCCACTGTGGGACTGAGAAGCTCCTCAGATGGGTGCCAGCAGAGGGCAATACCACACAGGCGAAATTCTGCTGGAAAGCTATCAAAAATTCAAAGTATTTCTCTTGTTCCACCTGAACGCGTTAAGTCTTTCCACTCCCCAATTAAGAAAGTTTTCAAGGATAGCCAAGAAATTTGAAAACAAGAATGGTCTTAAAGGAATATAGTGGTTGTTTATTGGCTTGCCCCGTATTTACCTGCTGAATTGGGAAAGATCTGAAACACTATCCAAGAACTGTGACAGGTTAGTGATTGGGTTTTTTGGTTTTGGTTTTTTGTTTTGGTTTTGGTTTTTTTTTTGGTTTTTTTTTTTGCAACCCCAGAGACTAAAATGTGCTACTTTTTCTTGGGGGTGTGTAAAATGCTACGAAAATGAAGAATAATATGGTCTTTCTGTCCCCTTATGGTAGAAGGAAAGAGATTTTATCCCCTCTGGCTATCCAGGATTTTTATTTTCATGTTTATTTTTAAACCTTTGCCCTGAATAAATCAAAAACATGTCTCTCTCAGCAAACAGTACTGGGATCCAAGGCATTCCTCCAGCCTAAATGGTCACGACCTGCTCCCCATGCATGACCTGCACACTATGTGTAGTACATACTTCTTTCCATTCCCTAGCTGGTGCAAAATGGGCAGCAAAGGGTGAGCCAAAGGACTGCGGGAGTACCATGTTGAGGCTGGCCATTAAATAGCGGGGTCTTTCCCCTTTTGCAAAGTTAGTATCTCTCCTAGTGATGAAGGCTAGAAATTGGATAATCAGTTAAGCCTTTTGTTCAACTTCCTCAGTCAAGGCATTGAAGTTTGGAGGTAAAATTAATACATATGCCTAATGCATATTTTTAGGACTGCTATCCTAAAGAAAACTGTCAGCTGTGACCTTTTATTTTACATACCGGTTAACAGATACTGGGAAGTGTTGTACTGTTAGGAGCCATGTGGCTTGTCTACACACATCCGTTTTAATTCTGCTAGTACCACCAGTACAGCGCAGACCTGCCAGTATGCATTCAAGGTGCTGACACCTGCAGTAGCGGGGTCACCCAGGTACCGGTCTGACCACATTTGTTGTGAAGAACCAATAGTTGCCATTGTTTAACCTGTACTAAAACTAAGTGGAAGCCAAGTCTGGTTCCTCGTGACAGACATGATTTTGCAAATCAGTTTCACAACCTCTTTCTGGTTTCTATTATCTGTTCACAAGGACAGCTATTTCATTTTCTTGACTTGGGTTTCCTTACTACCCTTCTGCGGTCCTGTTTTCGCAGCCACTTGCAGTGCCAAGTTTCAGCTTCTCTGCCCGGAGTGGCGGTGAAGGAAGGGCTAACGGAGGCAAACGCACACGTCCGAAGGAAAAGCAAATTTTAAAGCTTTCAGTAGCATCCATCCCAAAGACGGATTAGGTCTCCTTTGGTCTATAGTCCCAGCTCCTTACATGTAATTTTTTAATCTGTCATCATTAGATTGAATGTAAAACCAAAAGAAAAAAAAAAAATTACATACTGACTTTTAGTTGGGTGCTGTACAGAAAGGGCCCCGTACATCCCCACTTCCAATGCAGACTGCTATAGAAAAAGACAATTTTTGACATTTTTCCCAAAAAAGTCTATGCCAAGTACAATGGGCTGCTATGTGAGCGGGGAGATGAATCCACTTCGAAAATAAGAATTCACAAAAATTACTTCCTTTTCTTGCTTTAGCTTGTGGTAACTTCACCCTGCTGAGATAGTTTGGTGCGAAACCAAATTTTCAAATGTTTGCTGCTTTTTGGATGGAATATCACTTCTTTATACTGCAAAGCTTTTCTCCGGGAGAAGAAACACAAAGTATCCATCCAGTGGAAAGAAATGGTGAAATCACAAGACTGTTTGTATCTTTGAATTTCAGATCATGCTTTTTTCCCCAACATTACTTAAAAATTCCCACAGGAAAACCCACTTTGGGTTTGAAATCTGAAGAGCAATACATCTATTAATAGTTTGACAGACAATTTGTTGGGCTGCCACTGATGTAACCAGCTACAGATCTGATCCTCTGTGTGCCCCATGGAGGCTCCCGGGGAAGGTAACTGCTGGGAATCAATTTTAGAAATACTGCCAGGGAAAACAGTGTTCTTGTAGATTTTTTTTTTAGCCTGACTGTGCTGCAATACACAGCCTATTTCAGTTTTCTCCCACTTTAGTTCACATTCTTTGTAGACGAGATTACCACATGTTCCCTGGAATCAGAAATGTTTTATTTTCAAGGCTAGTCTTGTTTACCAAGAAGTGTTTTTTGCCCTGTTCTTTAAACTACAGAGCACAGTGCCCATCTGCAGGTTATCACATGCTTTCATGCCTTGTTTTTCTTTCTTTCCCTAAAACTCTTTCCAAGAATCCAAAAACCTGGAAGAGATGCTTTGTACACCAGGGCACAAAAGCAACAGTCCTAGGTTTTTTTGTTAGGCATAAGCAGTTTTTTTGCCAACCACTCATCAGACAGATTCTTTGTAAGTATATCTGTCTAATCAGCCTATTTCGTTGTCATTTATAAGGCATCAGGATTGTATTTTTTTCTGGCAATCAGCTAGTCTTGTCCAAAGTCCTTACAAATAAAATTCTTGTACATTTCTAATAAATATACATAATTTCTAACAAATATTGAAAATAGATATATAGTATGTTACCACTCTCTAATGTAACTACTGGCCAAAGATGACACATTTAATGATTGGCTAACTCCTCTAGGACTACGTTTCCACCCAAAGGGCAGACCTGCCCATCCTGTTGATTCTGCTTCCCTGGCACCTTTATTGTGTTGGCACTAATGAACACGAAGCCTCAGAGTATCACCTTGCTACACCAGCTCAATATGAACCCGGCAAAACCAGAGAAACAACATTAAACTTCCGTCAGGTCACCACCTTACTGATAACCCAAGACAGGAAAGAGGGAATGGCAGAAAGGATGGAACCAGCCCTTTTGGCAGCAGTTTGCAGTTGGATTGGCTTAAATCCATTATAAAAACTGTATCCGGACATCTCATGTGAGCAAGAATTGGTTTGATCTTTGCTGGTATTTGTAATTTTATCACCCATACCATGAGAGCATACAGGACTGCTGCAGGCTATCAAATATACATGGGAATTACATGTGTGTGTGTGTATGCATGTGGAACAGGAGGAACAGTGAAGTTCTCTAGTGAAAAGGGAAAGAAGACAGTGCTGTAATAAAGGGCTAATGGAAGTAAGAGAAAGCAAAACGACACGAGTTAAGTGAAGAAATTGAAGGACTACAAAAAAAGTAAAGACAAACTCACAGGAAAGAGGGAACAGTAGAAAGATGAAAGCCCTGTGGGCCATGAGCACAAACTGGGGTGCCAGGCACAGAACATCACTCAGTCAGGGTCGCAGCTGCAGGTTTTCCCATGTAACGACGGGTTTTATGCACCCGTCTGAATGAACTCTTCTGTTTTCTGAACAGGTAACTCTGGGGAAATGTGGCTGCTGAACTTCACAGCATCTCGGTTGGACCAAGTAACGGGCTGACACGTGCTGAGAGAGAGCTCAGCTGCTGTGAAGTGAGGGAGAGCTGGATGAGCAGGAGGACCCCAGGAGAGGAGGAGGGCCAGACAGGCTGGCGAGGCAAATGTGTTCGGCTGGCATTCAGGACAATTCAGCAAATAACCACCATGGACATTTTACAGCAGACCTATTGCTCATTTCTGATTGCAGCTTTCCATTTTGGGGCCATTGGCTCCCCATCACCCATGGTTGCCTCGGCAGCACTGTCATTTATACTCACAGTGTAATGCTCCCCAGCTCTCCAACAAGTCAGGCAAAGCAACCACTACAGCCACCGTCTCCTTCTCTTTTACCAGGGCATCCCAGTAATAGGGGTTTTCAGGCAGGAACAACCCAGAGATGCCCTAGAGAATAAACTGCTCAAGACTGCCACCCTCCTCCTGGTAAATTCTTTGCTGAGGGGTACCTGATACTGAAAGATTTAATGGATGTAGGAGAAAGTTTTCAATAAATGATGGAAGAAGTCAGGGTTGCGATAAAAAGCAGACAGAATGAACAAAGTACTTCTCTGGAGAGGCACCATTACTTCACCTTTAATCACAAATATCTGTCCCTACACTAATAGGATTCTTCCATTGGCTCCTCAACTGGTAATTTTATGAAGAATCCCAAATGCTCACTGCTAGTATGCTTACCTTCCTCGTGGACTTGTACCCTATACTAGTCATGTATTCTGTATTACTTTTAAAAAAAAAAAAAAAGTGTGTTTCTGTTCCTAATTTCTATCAACCTCTAACAGCATTCAGCACACTGGGACTCTGTCCTCACACGACTTCCATAGCTGACACTGGCTGGCTTCACATCCCTGACCTTTAGCTGTAAAATTATTGCAACAGGTCGCATTCAGAGAGCGCACAAAGGCAGCGCCTCCAAAGCCAAGCTGAATGCATCAGCTGCTTCCTCTGCTGCCTTCGCAGCTGGTCAGACCCAAGGTCCTGCGCTGAACTTTCAGGCCTCGGTAGGATCGGGAATTAAGCAAACAGCTAAAGCTCTTTTTTCATACAACATTACTTGGGACTAAGCCAAATTTCGCTCATGACTCAGATGAGTAAT